TTGTGGCTCCCTATCCTGGGTTTGGATGAGGCAGGGAGGACCCACTTTAAAGACCACTGTTAAGTCTTAACTTTCCTGGTTAGATATGCTAACCCGGGGAATGGTAGCTATCCTCTAGCTTTTTTGCTTGGGGGCTATTAGTAGAGGTCACCTGAAGAACCCTGTTTACTGAATTGACTGAAAAACTCCTATGGGTGCTCAGTGTAAGAGGATTTCTTGAGGGTGGGGCAGATGCTGGTTGTTAATAGTCCTCAATTAGCATTTCAATGTCCACGGGTGGGCTTGAATCTCCGAGGGAAGGGCTCCTGCCTCTCCCCAGGAGCACCCTCTAAATCCCAAGTGTCTCCACACAGTTCCAGTTTAGTCTGCCTTTCCTCTGCCAGAGTCCAAGGTGCGTGGCTGCTGCCAATTCATCCTCCGTCCGGACTCTGTGTTGTGGAGTCGCCTGGGACTTTAAAAAAAATTTTTTTTGTGGTACGTGCTCCTGGCAGGAATCGAACCCAGGACTCTGTGGTCCACAGGCCTACGCTCCACTGCTGAGCTAAACTGGCCAGGCCACCTGGGACTTTTAACTCGAGGGCACTGCTCCCAGCTAAGGGCAGCTGAGGCTGTGGCACCAGCTGAGGGCGTAGCACCCAGCCAAGGTGGCAGCAGTTTCCAGCAGAGGCAGCTGGACCCAGCCGAGGGCGTAGCACCCAGCCGAGGTCGCAGGACCCAGCCGAGGCAGCCACTGGCCTCAGCTGAGGCCACAGGACCCAGCCGAGGGTGGAGCTTACAGCTGAGTCCCCTGGTCCCAGTGAGTCCCCTGGTCCCAGCCCAGGCCGCTGCAGACCGTGGGCTCTCGGCCCCCTCTTGCATCCTGGCAAACCTACCAGGATTGAGTCAGTGTCCCTGGTTATGTGGTCCTCCAAGCTGCCTTTCGGTTGCCCCTTTCTGATGATTTGTCTTTATTTTTGTTGTAATTCCAATTTAGTCCTGGGAGATGGTCTGTGTAGCTTCCATTCACTCCACCGCCATTTTCCTGGTTGCTGCTTTTCTTCGGAGCTCTGGGAAGTGGCTCCTGGAGCAAGATGGCTATAGTCCTGTGTGGCCACTACTCAGCAAAAACTCTGAGTGCCCTTCAAATGTCACATGTCCCCACACAGTTCCAGTCCCGTCTGCCCTCCCTCTGCCAGAGTCCAACTTGAGTGACTTTAGGTAATTTAGTGCTCTGTCCCAGCCCTCTGTGCTGTGTAGCCAGCTTGAGATTTTAACCCTGAGAGAGTTGCTCACAGCTAAAACAACTGCTGTTCTTGGGCTCCCAGCTGACCATCTCACACCTTCACAGGCCTACCAGGCTTGATTCAGTGTCCTTTTTTTTCTGTCTGTGGTTATATGGGCTTTTTCCAGATGCTTTTCTGGTACCTTTTCTCAACAATTTGTTTTTATTTTAGTTGTAACTCCAGTTTGGTTCTCGAAGATGGTCTGTGTAGCTTCTATTCATTCTGCCGCCATTTTGGAATCTTTGAATTTTTTATATTATTTGGAAATTAGCACTTTATGAAGTGTTTCATTGGCAAATATGTTCTCTTACACAGTGGGTTTTATTTTCATTTTGATGATAGGTCTTGGGGCTGCAAAAGTTTTTATTTAACTATAGTTTTATTTGTTGTTGTTGTTTTTTTCCTTTGTTTCTCTTGCCCTAAGAGTTGTATTGGTGAAAATTCTGTTATATGACATATCTGAGGTTTTACTGCCTGTTTTCTTTTAGGATTTTTATGATTTTTGCCTTCTACATTTAATCCTGTTTTGATGGGTTGTTTTTTGCTTCCTTATGTTCCAAATCGATGGTTTGCTATTTAGCTTCATCTACTCTACTATTGATTCTCTGTAAATTAATCATTATTTCAGTTAGTGCATCCTTCATTTCTGACTGGTTCTTTATCATACTCTTGAAGTCCTCATTAAGTTCTTGACATTCTCACAAAGTTTCTTGAAATTCTCACTGAGTTCATTGAGCATCCTTATAAACAGTGTTTTGTACTCCACATTTGTTTGATTGCTTATCTCTATTTCATTTAGTTCTCCTGGAGTTATGTTCTTTTATTTGAGACATGTTTCTTTGTCTCCTAATTTTGGCTCCCTCCCTATGTTTGTTTTTATGTATTAAGTAGAGTTGCTCTGTCTCCTAGGCTTCCTTGTGTAGCCTGTTTTATTAGGTGTCTTGTACAGTGCAGTGGCACAGCCTCCCTGATCTCCCCAGCTGGGCCGTCAAGGTGCACCCTTCGTGTGTACTTTATACCATTCTGTTGTAATTGTGTCTTGATTGCTGTTGGCACATCAATGAGAGGGATTTACCTAGGCTGATTGTTTCAAAGACTGGCTGTGCCCACTGACCACCAACTTCTGACCACCTCAGATGACCAAATGTGCAGGGGCCCACTACACAGAGCAAGACTTACTTTAGAAGGGCTCTAGTACCCACTGAGTCTATTCCTTGAGTGTGTCATTTGTGGAGGTGGTTGGGGGTGGTGCTTTGATGTGGTCTGAAGCTGTCCACTGGGTTTGCTGGCTCTGGGGCAGGGTCAGCCACTGCCTGTTTTCCACCCAGAGCCACCAGGCATAAGCTACAAAGTGATCTGCCAATGGCTGATTCTTGTGCTGGTCTTGGAGGTGTCCAAGCAAAGTCAACCTGTGAGCCAAGACTGGCTGCTTCTAGTGCCAGACCTGGAACCACTTAGTGAGAGATAGGGGGTTCACTGAGGCCAGATGCTGTTTATTTGAAAGAAATCTGAAACAGGATCCAAGACAGGCCAATCCTATTGTAAAGCCACTGGAAACAGCTTGGGTGGGCCCCAAATTTTGGTGGGGCAGGGCCTCAGGGAATCACCAGGGAAGGGCAGTGTGAACCAGGTTGCTGGAATCCCAGATATGGCGCCTGTCTGCCAGTCCCATGGGGGAAGGGCCCACAAAAGGAACAGTTGCTTACAACAGCAGGTCTAGCTGGGAGATAGCTCTCTCTCCAGCCCTTGCCCCAATGCCAAACAACTCATTTTCCCCCATATGTCTCTGTTGCCTTTCAAGTTGCCTCACCAACACAGAAGCCTGGAAAGAGCAAGTCTGAGTAAGTTCGTGTGTGGGCCCTTTAAGAGGAACTGCCCCGGCTGTTTTGATTACCGTAACTTTGTAGTATAGGTTGATATCCTGTAGTGTGATCTCTCCAACTATGTCCTTGTTTCTCAAGATTGCTGCAGCTATTTTGTGTTTTTTTTGGTTCCATATAAATTTTGGGGAAATTTCTTCTAGATCTGTAAAATATGCCACTGGTATTTTAGTAGACATTGCATTGAATTTATACATTGCCTTGGGTACTATGAACATTTTAATGGTATTATTTCTTCCATAAACTCAGTATATGCTTCCATTTGTTTGTATCTTCTATTTCTTTTTTTCAATGACCTATAGCTTTTCTTTCTTTTCTTTTTTTTTTTTTTTTTTTTTTTTAGAGTTAAGGCTATTTCAAGCATTTATTCTTATTTTCTCAGCTTTGCACTAGGACAAGGAGACTCAAAGCCCTGCTGTTTTCTTTTTGTTTTGATTCTCTAGCTCCAACCCCTCTCCTCCCCAAAGGAAAAAAAGAGTAGAGAAGTAGGACATTTCTAAGGAAACAGACAGGTTATCAGAAAAATAACTCTCAATATCATGGCAAAACAGGAGGAAGCTAAAAGGGAAATATTTTGCTGAGTAAGGAAAGACAATTGTGTCAACATGCTAATGCCAAGGCCTGTCACTCACCAAGCTGATAGTCTTCCATAGACATGCATCTTCAGAAAGAAGATACAAAGAGTTTTAAAGTGGAAAAGGAAGAGCATTAATACTTTGGGGACTCTTGGCAAATTCAGGAGTCAACAAGGACATTTATGACTATAAATGCTATGAATATTTAAAATTGATAGTGTGGCCAATGGCTCCCCTCCAAAAATTTCTCACTGAAAATAATGGCATAGAGGGGAAACTTGGGTCCACTGAGAAGTGAGGGTCAGGTTTGAAGCCTCTTTGGTTAACAGGAATGCTTTGGGAGGCCACAGAAGTTGGCAGGGTTGGACGGTGCCTAGCACCTTGACACAAGCAAGCACCAGGCAGTCACTCACACCTACATAAATATATAGTCCAAATGTGAGGGATGGAAGGAAATAATACATATATACCATATGTGATAATAAAGACAATTGTATCCTACCCCATCATCCTCATGTACTAACAGCTAAAAAGCTCCACAGTTAATAATCTTGTCACTTTATGACAGACTACACCACCTTGCAGAAGCAGAATCAGGGATTGCTAAAAAAACAAAGCCAGAAGTCCTGGGGCTAAAAGGAGTGTGCCTTGACAAATCTGAATGTCAAATTTCAAGTCTTCCAAGGATGGCGTTATTCTAGGAGGATGGGTGAGAATGAACAACAGAGGGTGGCCTAGAAGACCACACCAGGAACCCTGTATTCTCCTGGATAGAGCTGAATGAGGTTGGGAAAGCCCCAACATGTAGGTAGTTGCTACTGGCTTTTTTAAAAGATGGGCAACATTTTTTCCATCCCAACATCTCAAACAAAGGCTAGTTGATCATCAAACAAGTTTTAAGAACCAAAACTCACCAGCATTGTAACAAAATCCCCCACTCTAAAAGTTACAAACCCTGAAAAGATCAGGACTCTCAGGTGATTCAAAAGTTAAAACTCATCTTGAGATCACAGGGCATAGAATAAAGAGATCAGGGCAAAGGAAAAAATTGTGGGAATTACACACAGTATGCAAATGCCTGGTCTTCACAGAGAGACACTTATCATGAATCAGACTATTAGTTATGTTATAAGAGAACCAATACCAACATTTCTCCTGTGGAGCACAGTGATAAGCACATTTTTTATGAATATGTTTAGGATAGATGGGGGTAGGTAGAAGGGAGAGGAGGCAAGGAGGTGAATGTATTATGTACAAAGAGACGACAGAGACCATCCCCTCCTTTAGCTCTTTGCTGTTTCTTTCTCTTTGTTTTCCGCATCCTCAGGATATGCATGCCATGTCAGTCTTTCTTCATAAAATGCTATCACAATCTGTGGACATTTTATATTAGCTTCTTTTGCAAGAACCAGGTCTGCTTCATCTGTGTCTTTCCATTTTATTAGGAACATTAAATCGCCACAGGAATCTGTTGCCCCAATGATCTTTTCTGGTTCCACTCCTCTTTCAAAGCCCTGAGCAATATCATTGCTTTGCTCTCTCTTTTTTTTTAGATTTGATATCATCAGCAGTGTTTGAGAAACTGGATTTCCTCTTGGTACTTTCTGACTTCTCCCTGAGTATGTTATTTTCACCCTCCTTCATCTTCTTATACTTTCTCATAAACTCAGAAATTAGCTCAGGGCAATCCAAATTTTTCTCAGGTTCCCAGGTATTGTGCTCCTCAGAAAAGCCTTTCCACTTCAGTAGATATTCCACTTGCCCCTTAACCACACGCCTATCTAGCACCTTCTCCACGACGTACTCCTCCTCATCCTCTGAAGAAGAACTGTCAGCTGTTCGCTTGGTTTTCTTTCCCATGTCGTACACACCGTTCCACCTGAAGTACTAAGGCCACTGGGTTCCCAGGATTGAAACCTATCACTCACGTTAATGTCTTCGCTGTTCCTGTGTGATGAGATCGGACCACATGCCGCCTCTGCTGCCGTCTTCTCGACCTATAGCTTTTCAAGTACAGGTCTTTTACTTTCTTGGTTAACTTTATTACTAGATACTTTTTTTGTTGTTTTTGCAGTGGTAAATGGGATTTTTGATTAGTTTCTATTTCTGAGAGTTGTTTGTTGTTGTATTAAACCATGAATTTCTGCTACTTTTCCAAATTCATTTATCAAATCTAGTAGATTTTTATGGAATCTTTATGGTTTTCTATGTACAATATCATGTCATTTGCAAATAATGACAGTTTTACTTTTTTTTTTTTTACATTTAATTTTTCGTATTTTATTTATTTATTTTTGTTACAGATGTTTCTCCCTTTTCCACCACTGATTCACCCCTCCCCAACCCTCCCCACTCTGTCACCAGCTTTGTTGTCCATGTCCATTGTTCATGAATACGTGCATATAAGTACTGTGGTTTATCTCTCCCCACACACACCCTCCTCTGGGGATTGTCAGTCTGTACCCCACTTCCATGTCTCTGGGGCTTCCCCATTCCTCAGACTGTTATGTTCATTGGGTTTTTTGTTTTCCTCTTGTTGAGTTGTATTGGCACTTTATTTATATTGGAAATTAACCCTTTATCTGATATATCATTGGCAATGATGCTCTCCCATACAGTGGCTTGTCTTTCCATTTTGATGATTATATCTTTTGCTGTGCAGAAGCTTTTGAGTTTGATGTAGTCCCATGTGTTCATTTTCTCCTTTGTTTCTGTTGCCTTAGGTGATGTATCAGTAAAAATTCTACTGTATATGATTTCTGAAATTTTGTTGCCTGCATTTTCTTCTAGGATTTTTATGGATTCATGAGTCACATTTAAGTCTTTTATCCATTTTGAGTTTATGTGTATGGTGTAAGTTGATGTTCTAGTTTCATTTTTTTGCATGTAGCTGTCCAATTTTCCCAACACCATTTATTAAAGAGGCTGTCTTTACTGCACTGGATGCCCTTACCACCTTTGTCAAATATTAATTGAGCATATTGCCTTGGGTTCATTTCTGGGTTCTTCTCTATTCTGTTCCATTTACCTGTTCTTGTGCCAGTACCAGACTGTTTGATTACAGTGGCTTTGTAGTATAACCTGAAATCTGGTAATGTGATACCTCCAACTTTGTTCTTCTTTTTCAAGATTGTTGTGGCTATTTGGGGTCTTTTTTGATTCCATATTTACTTTTGAAGTATTTGTTCTAGTTCTGTGAAGTATGTCATTGATATTTATGGGGATTTCATTGAATCTATAAATTGCTTTGGGTAATATGGACATTTTAATGATGTTAATTTCTCTAATTCGTGAGCAAGGTATGTGCTTCCACTTTTTATATCTTCCTTTATTTCTTTTTTCAATGACCTGTAGTTTTCTGCAAATAGGTCCTTTACTTCTTTGGTTAAGTTTATTTCTAGGTATCTTAATTTTTGTGCTGCAATGAGATTTTTTTTTTAGTTTTTCTTTCTGTGAGTTCATCATTGGTGTATAAAAAGGCCTTCAATTTCTTGACATTAATTTTTTATTCTGCTACTTTGCCAAATTCATTTATTAAATCTAGTAGATTTTGGATGGAGTCTTTTGGGTTTTCTACATATAGTATCATGTCCTCTGCAAATAATGACAGTTTCACTTCCTCCTTTTTATCCCTTTTACTTTTTCTTTCTGTCTGATTGCTGTGGCTAAAACTTTCAATACTATGTTAAATATGATTGTCAAAAGTGGGAATCCTTGTCTTTTTTCTGTTTATAAAAGAAATGCTTTTAATTTTTACCCACTGAGTATTGATGTTGGCTATAGGTCTTTCATATATGGCCTTTATTATATCGAGATATGATTCCTCTATTCTTACATTGCTGAGCATTTTTATTAGAAATGAGTGCTGGATTTCGCCAAATGCTTTTTTAGCGGCTATTAATATGATCATATGGTTTTTATCTTTCATTTTGTTTATGTGGTGTATCACATTTATTGATTCGCGAATATTGTACCAGCCTTGCATCCCTGGGATGAATCCCACTTGGTCATGGTGAATAATTTTTTTGATGTATTACTGGCTTTGACTTGCTAGTATTTTGTTCAGAATTTTGGCATCTATGTTCATCACGGATATTGGTGTGTAGTTTTCTATCTTTGTAGTGTCTTTTTCTGATTTTGGAATTAGAATTATGCTGGCCTCATAAAATGAGTTTGGAAGTCTTCCTTCTTCTTGAATTATTTCAAACAGTTTTAGGAGAGTGGGTAGTATTTCTTGTTTGAATGTTTGGTAAAATTCCCCTGTGAAGACATCTGGGCCTGCAATTTTGTTTGCTGGGAGAGTATTGATTACATCTTCAATTTGTTGTTGTTGTTGTTATTGATCTGTTCAAGTTTTCTATCTTTTCCCAGTTCAGTTTTGGGAGACTATGTGTTTCTAGAAATTTGTCCATTTTGCTTAGATTGTTGAATTTATTGCCGTATAATTATTCAGAATATTTGTTAACAATCCTTTGTATTTCTGTGGTGTTATTATTTCTCCTCTTTTGATTCTGATTTTGTGTATTTCAGTTCTCTCTTTTTGTTTCTTGGTGAGTCTAGCTAAGGGTCCTTCAATCTTGTTTATCTTTTCAAAGAACCAGCTTTTTGTTTCATTGATTCTTTGAATTGTCATTTCAGTCTCCATGTCATTTATTTCTGCTCTAATCTGTACCATTTTTTTCCTTCTACTTGCTGTGTTTTGGGTTTTTTTTTGTTCATTTGTTTGCTTTCTAATTCTTTAAGTTGTGAGATTAGATAATGTATTAGAAATTTTTTTTGTTTCTTGAGGTAGGCCTGTAGTGCTATGAACTTCCCTCTCAGTACTGCTTTCGCTTCATCCCATACATTTGTGCTGTTGTGTGTTCATTTTCATTGGTATCCAGGAAGTTTTTAATTTCATCCTGGATCTCCATGGTAACCTATTCATTTTTCAGTAATATGCTGTTTAGCCTCCATGTTTTCAAATGTCTTTGCATGTTCTTGTTGCAATTGATTTCTAGTTTCATGTCATTGTGATCTGAAAGGATGCTTGATATGATTTTAATATTCTTGAGATTGTAGAGACTTCGTTTGTGTTCTAACATGTGGTCTGTCTTTGAGAATGTTCCTTGTGCACTTGAGAAGAATGTGAATTCTGCAGTTTTGGGGTGTAATTCTCTGTAGATATCTATGAAATCCATTTGATCTAGTGCTTCATTTAGAGTCTGTGTTTCCTTGAAAATTATTTGTCTAGAAGATCTATCCAGTGATGTCAGCGGGGTATTGAAATCCCCTGCTATGATTGTATTGCTGTCGATTTCTCCTTTGAAGTACTCTAAAAATTTTTTAATATATGTTGGTGTTCTTATCTTGGGTGCATATATATGTTTACCAAGGTTATATCTTCCTGTTGGATAGATCCTTTCAATATTATGTAGTGGCCTTTTTTGTCTTTAGTTATGGCCTTCATTTTGAAATCTACTTTATCGTATATAATAAATATTGTTACCCCAGCTTTTTTTTTTTTGCTTTACATTTGCTTGAAAATTTTTTTTTATTTCTCCACTGTCAATCTATGTGAGTCTTTTGTTGTGACGTGGGTTTCTTGTAAACAACTTATATGTGAGTCATGCTTTTTTATCCAGTCAGCTACTCTGTGTCTTTCTATCAGAGCATTCAGACCATTCACATTTAAGGTGATACTTGATATGTACTTATTTATTGCCATTTTTGTTTAGTGTGGTTCTATTTTTCTTCCCATTTCTTTTACTAATTACAGCAGACCTTTTAGCATATCTTGCAGTGTTGGTTTGGTGTTAATGTATTCCCTTATCCTTTTTTTGGTCTGGAAAGCTCTTTATTTGACTTTGTATTTTGAATGATAGCCTTGCTGAATAGAATAGTCTTGGATTCAGATTTTTGTTTTTCATGACCTTGATTACTTCATGCCACTCCCTTCTGGCCTGTAGTGTTTTTGTTGAGAATTCAGCTGGTAGCCTTATGGGGTTTCCTTTGTAGGTAACCTGTTGCTTATCTCTTGCTGCCTTTAGGATTCTCTCTTTGTTTTTAATTTTTGGCATTTTGATTACTATGTGTCTTGGTGTGGGCCTGTTTGGTTTCTTTTTACTTGGGGCTCTCTGGGCTTCTTGAAATTGAATGCCTTTTTTTTTCACCAAGTTAAGAAAGTTTTCTGTCACTATTACTTCAAATATATTCTCTAACCCTTGGCCATTTTCTTCTTCTTTGGAAATCCTATGATGTGAATGTTATTACATTTCTAGTTGTCCCACAGTTGTCTTAAGCTTTCTTGTTTTTTAATTTTTTGCTTTTCTGAGTGGTTGATTTTTTCTACCCTATTTTTAATTTAGTGATCCTGTCCTCAGCTTCCTTTACTCTGCTGGTTAGTTCTTCTAATGTGTTCTTAATTTCTATGTCATTCTTCATTTCTACTTGGTTGGTTTTCACTATTTCTATATCTTTACTCATGGTGCTGATGTCTTTAATCATGCTGTTAAGCTTCCTCAAGATCATGGTTCTGAACTCTACCTCTGATAATTTGCTTAGCTGCCTTTCATTTATCTCATCTTTGATAGAGTTCTCTTGTTCTTTCATTTGGGATTTGTGTCTTTGTTTCACTATTTTGGCTATCTCAGTGGGTTTTGGAACCTGCCACATTTTCCCTGTGGGTGTTGGTGTTCTGGTTTGTGGCTCCCTCTATTGGGTTTGCATGAGCCTGGGTGGGCCCATGTTAATCAGCACTGTCAAGTCTTACTTCTCTGGGTAGATTTGCAAGCCCAGGAAAGGTTCAGTTGTCCTCTAGCTTTTTTCTGGTAGCTAGTAGTCTCAGTTACTCAGTGCCTTTGAATGTAGTTCTGGAATTGTGCATAAGAGCATTTCCAGAGAGTGGGATAGATGCTTGTTGTT